TCATTTTGCATTACTTTTTTTATACTTACTTTTTTCCCACCATGATTATTAGTTTTATAATTTAAGTTTTTTCTAAAAGGGCAGCAGGGCGGTGGGAGTCACGGGGCTTCTGGCCACCACGGTGGAAACAGAGTCGCGGCGGCTCTCCCAGGGAGCCTGCCAGGCCGCTGCACCTCGGAGGTTTGGCCAACAGATGACTCAGCGGCCTGACTCAATGGGCGCTTTTGACAAAGCTGAATCCCCAGTTGCCCTGGGACTCGTTAACCCACGGGGCATCCTTGGCTCATTCCGCCCTGACCAGGGCGTGAAGGGGCCTGGCCCCTAAGGCAGCTGCTGGGAAGAGAAGTTTTGTTTGTTTCCTTCTTCCTCCCCCGCGTGTCCTTCCCACTCAGGCCTGGGCGCCCGGGCAGCGCCTCTGGCAGCCCCTGCCTGCCCGGCATTGCCCAGACGTCCCACCCAGGCCTCACTTCCCACACCCACGCCGCGCCCCCCCTTTAAAAAGCTGCTTTGATTAGATGGCTTCGTGGCTTCTGTGTGACAGACATTGAGAAGTTCACAATTTACAAAGCTACCGGCCGCTTCAGAGAGCTCTAGTGGCTGGAGCAAGGCTTGGGATGGCGTCTGTCACCGATGAAGATAAGAGGCCGAAAGCCAAGCAGCTTTCCCCAGATCATGGGGCTTAGGAGCTGTGGAGCCTAGCTGGGCCCCCGCTGGCTCCCATCTGCCACCCTAAGCCGTCAGCGACCCTCTGCACTGTCTTGTGCCGTCTCATTTGTCCCCCACCGGCCCCTGGACGGTGAGTGGGCTTCTTGATGCATCTGCAATAGACATTGGTAACTCGATGGTCCAAGCAAAACAGCCCACAGGAGTGAATTTCTGATTCTTTGCAAATTTCAGGCTGCGTGGCCTGGATGGTGGGGCTGGAAGGGGAGAGGGAGCGGAGGCAACATCCCTCCCCATGTTGAGCCAAGCCAGCAGCTGTCTCCCTAGCTGGGAGAGGGCTCGCTGGGTTGGGGCTGCCCCAAGGGACACGGAAGGGCTGTTTTAAAATTGGCAAGAGGAGATCGGTGCCAAGACTGCTGTCGCGAACCTGGGGGTGGCATGGAGCCCCAGAAAGTACAGAAAGAAGGGGGGCGAGTGTGGAGGGAAATAGGCGCAGCAGCCAAGTGTGTCTGAGCCCAGTGCAAGTTTGGGCACAGCTATCCTCTGCGTCTAGGTACCCTTCCGGGGACCCTCCGCCCCCGCACTGTGGAGAATGAGCACCAGCTGCTTTCCCCCTAAATGCTCATTAGGCGTGAGAAGAGCTCATCCCGTCATAATGGGAAACCCTTCAGACCAAGCACACTGAGGCCACAACCCAGGCGGGAGGGAGAGGGGAGAGTTGTGGGTGGACTTGCTGACGGAAGGTTGGGAAGCCCCGGCCCATTCATTCCTGCCTCCCGCATCGCAGGAGTGATGCTAACAGAAGAAGGTCCTTGAGAGCCTAGAAATAAATCCATGCACAGATGGTCAATTATTAATGCAAAGGCATCAAGAATATACAATGGGAAAGGAAGACAGGCTCTTCAACCGATGGTGTCGGGAAGACAGGACAGACACAGACAAAAGGATGAAGTGGGAGCCACCATACACAAAATCACCTCAAACTGGAATAGACTTGGATGTGAGACGTGAAACCATCAAACTTCTGGAAGGAAACATAGGTGGAAAACTCCTTGACACCAGTCTTGGTAATGATTTTTTTGGATTTGACACCAAAAGCAAAATAAGCAGGAAGGACGACATCAAACGAAAAAGATTTGACACAACAAAGGAAACAAACCATCAATCAAATGAAAAAGCGACCTACTGAATGGAAGAAAAATTAATCCACAGTTAAGGAATTAATATTCAAAATATATAAATAACTCACACAAAACAACAGCAAAGCAACCCAAACAATCCTATTAAAAAATGGGCTGAGGCCTGGCTGGTGTGCTCAGTGGTTGAGCATCAAGCTATGAATCGGGAGGTCACGGTTCCATTCCTGGTCAGGGCACATGCCTGGGTTGAGGGCTCGATCCCCAGTAGGGAGGGTGTGCAGAAGGCAGCTGATCAACTATTCTGTGTCATCATTGATGTTTCTCTCTCTCTTTCTCTCTCTCCCTCTCTGAAATCAATAATCCTATATAATAAAAGGGTAATATGCAAACCGACCAAACGGTGAACCAACGCTCAACGCAGGAACTGCCCCCTGGTGGTTAGTGCACTCCTACAGGGGGAGCACCACTCAGCCAGAAGCCAGGCTCACGGATGGGGGAGTGGTGAGCGGAGCAGTGGTGTCGAGAGCCTCTCCCGCCTCTGACTGCGACATCCCCCAAGGGGTCCTGGACTGTGAGAGGCGCAGGCTGGGCTGAGGGACTGTCCTCCCCCTCCACAGTATCCACAGTACACAAATTTTCGTGCACCGGGCCTCTAGTATATATATAATTGGACAGAGGATCTAAATAGACATTTTTTGAAAGAGGACATGATTAACAGGTACATGAAAAGGTGAATGACATCATTAATCAATCATCAGGGAAATACAAATCAAAACCACAATGAAATAGCACCTCACACCTGTCAGAATGGCTGTCATCAATAAATCAACAAACACATGTTGCTGAGGATGTAGAGAAAAGGGAACCCGCTCCCACTGTTGATGGGAATACAGATTGGTGCAGCCATCGTGGAAAGCACTATAGAGGTTCCTCAAAAAATTGAAAATATAGCCCTGGCTGGTGTTGGGCATCATCCTATCCACCAAAAGGTTGCCAGTTCAATTGCTGGTCAGGGCACATGCCCAGGTTTTGGGTTCAATTCCTCATAAGAGATGTGAAGGAGGCTGCCAATCAATGTTTTGTTCTCACATCAATGTTTCTCCCTCTCCCTTCCACTCTCTCTAAAAAGAAATTTAATTTTTTAATTAAAAACACAACTACCTTATGACCCAGCAATTCCACTTCAGGGTATTTGTCTAAAGAAAATGAAAACTGCAATTGAAAAATGCACTCCTATGTTCACTACAGCATTCTTTTCTCTTTTTTAGAAAAAATTGATTTTTAGAGAGAAAAGAAGGGAGAGGGAGAGAGAGAAACAATGATGTGGGAGGGAAACATCCATCAGCTACCTCCTACATGCCCCTACTGGGGATTGAGCCTGGAACCCGGGCATGTGTCCTGACCAGCGATTGAACTGGCAACCTTTCCGGTGCATGGGACGACGCCCAACCAACTGAGCCACACCGACCAGGGCTACAGCATTATTCTCAATAGCCAAGACATGGATAGAATCTAAGTGTCCACAAATGGAGAAATGGAAAAAAGGTATGATATTCCATATATATATATTTATACATATATATATATATATGCACAATTTGAATAATTATAAAGGCAGTGTTTATTAAAATACATTTCATTTTCATAATTGAGCTATCAGCTGTTAAATTGTGTCTATATTTTTGGGGACACCCTGTATATACAATTCCGCCATAAAAAATGAAGAAAATCCTGCCATTTGCAACAATATGGGTAGACTTTGATGGCATTATGCTAAATGAAATAAGTCAGACAGAGAAAGATAAATACTGTATGATCTAACTTGCATGTGGAATGTAAAGAATAAACTCCTGGATACAGAGAATAAATTGGTGGTTGCCAGAAGGTGGGGATGGGGTGGTGGTGAAAATAGCTGAAGGTGATCAAAAGATAAAAGGTTCCAGCTACAGGTCCTGGGACCTAATGTACAGCAGGTGACTGTAGTCAACAGTACTAGGTTGCGTGTTTGAAAGTTGCTGAGAGTAGATCATTAAAGTTCTCATCACAAGAAAAACAATTTGTAATTATTTGAGGTGATAGATATGAACTGACTTATGGTGGTGATCATTTCACAATATAGACATATATCAAATCACTAAGCTGTACGCCTGAAACTAATATAGTGCTGTATGTCCATTATAGCTCAATACAACCAGAAGAAACAAAAAGGAAAGTCCCCAAGGAGCGGGGGGGGATGGAGTCGACGAGAGGAAGGTCTTTGAGGTCTTGGCAAGCCAGTGTGCAGGGTCTGGGCCAGGTACCAGGGAAACAGATTTAGTGGCTGCGGACGTGATGTCTGCTGAGTTGGCTGCAGCTGCTATTACAAGGGTGGGATCACTACCTTGATCCCAAAATGCTAAATGGAGCCCTTGGGAGCCATGCCCAGAATCTGTCACCTGTCGTTACCTCAGTTCATCTGCAGAGCCAGGTGCTCAAGAGGTCTGCATTATGGGCACAAATGGGGCCCAGAGCGCACTGGAGACCTGAGTGTGTCCCCTTTCAGACCGAGAAGGCTTTATCATGTCCCCTGATCGTAAAGCATACTCCCTACAAAACATCAAAACAAAGAACAAATCCCGTGACCAGAGGCACCCCTGCTAACCGCTGTCCGTTTTCACTGCTGGATGGGACACACATGCACACACACGAGGGTCATCATCATACACTGGGCCACAGGGCACAAGTTCCTTGTGGACACTGGGTTGTGTGTCACTGGGTTGTGGTCAGCTTTCCTGTGGACACTGGGTTGTGGCATCGTTTCACACCGAGAAGCAGAGCAGCTTGTCGGACCCGGGCCTGGATACCACTTCCACTCCTCTGTGCTCTTTCAGTCTGGGGAGGGGCTCCTTGCGCCCTCCATCTGCCTCCCACACTCACCGCATCCCCTGCTCTGGACCACAAGGAGCCCTGGACTGAAAACAAACCATTTTCCTCTGAAAATGTAGCCTTGATGAGGTCATCGGGGCATGCGGGGCCTCCAAGGCTCAGGGACAGGAGCAAGTTGGACCGTCAGGTGTCACTACCTGCCCTTTAGCCTGGCCCTGCCACAGCAAGGGCTGGCTTCGGGCAGTCCCCTCC